TTAGCACTATAATTTAGAGGAAGGCGACTTAAACATTGAAATCTAAGCTGCTGGTAATTAGCACATTGGAGGAGAAAATATTCAGTGGTTTCTGTAGACAGATTATATGAACACATTGGACTATCAGCTAAGTTTCGAGAAAATAAAAGAGCATTCAATGAGCTACAGTGCATTCTCAGTCGAGCGTGATGTATTTGGCCATGTCTGCTTCTGCAGTAGTAATAGTGTTTTGGGACAGATCGAGTAGAGAGAGTGTCGGAGTTTAGAAATTTTTTGAGGTTAGTAATTGACGGATTTTATTTTATGTTTTCAGGAAGTGAGTTCCATAAGTCAGCAGAAGAGGGTAGGAAAGAATATTTGTAGAGGTTTGTTCGACAGTTTATTTGACAGAAATTGTGTTATGAGCATGCATATCAGAATGGCGAGCAGGTAAAACGTTATTTAGGTAAGGAGGGCACTGACCATGAACCTTGTGAAACTTAATAATTTTATGTTTTTTTCCTACGAGCAGTAAGGAGTTCCCAACCTGTTTCTGTATATAGTCTAGCGAGGCTTGTGAGTTTGCTAGCCCCAGTCGTGATTCTAGCTGCTTCAAGCTGTATATTTTTAAGCAGCTGACTTTGGCCTAAAGTTATGTTGTCCCATACTATATCACCATATTCTAATAAGGGTCTAACGAAAGTAAAATAAATAGTTTAAAGAGATTTCCTGTCGATACTAAATTTGAGGTTTTTAAGTAGTAAGTAGTAAGTTTTTTAGAAGCTTTACTAATAATATATTGGATATGATCAGACTAACTTCCGTCTGCAGAAATGAAAATACCGAGGTGTTTGTGGCACGGGACTTCAGTTAGGGTAACGTTGTTCATGATCAAGGAGGTGTGGATAGGTTTGTTATTTTTCTTACGTACGGTCATTGTTACAGTTTTGTTAGGGTTAAAGTTTACTAGCCATGTTTGAGACCACTCATGCATTTTTGTTAGATCATTATTTAACAGGTTTGCGGTCGGACCCGGCGACTCCACTTCGACATATAGAGACGTATCGTCAGCAAAAAGTTTTATGTTACAATGGATGTCTTGAACAGTATCATTTATAAAAATCAAAAAAAGTAATGGCCCTAAAATTGATCCCTGGGGAACTCCCGCTGTGATATATGCTAAATAAGATTGTTTACCATTTATAACAACACGTTGGCAGCGGTTTTGTTAATAATCTGAGAACCAAGTAAAAAGATTTCCTGTGATACCGAAGGATCTTATTTTGGAAAGGAGGCCTCGATGCCAAACCCGGTCAAACGCTTTGCTAATGTCACAAAATACCATTCTGACTTCTTTACCTTTATCTAAAGCGGAGAACATATCATTAGAAATAGATATAAGTTGATTTATGGTGGAGTCACCGGATCTGAACTCAGACTGATAGAATGTTAGTAAGGACTTGTGAACAAGATGGTTGTAAACATGTTTATAAATACATCGTTCCATCATTTTACCAACAATTGACAGGAGTGATATAGATCGATAATTACTTAATATAGATGGACCATCTTTTTTTATACTGGTATAACATTATCAATTTTCCAAGATGATGGACATTTACATACAGAGAGCGAAAGGTTAAATTGTTTTAGTAGAGGATAGCTTAGAATTTACAAGGTCGGGACCAGAGGCTTTTTTGGTGTCGAGGGAATGTAAAGCATCAAGAACGTCTTGGCGAGATATTACAATATCAGAAAGCATATGTGTATAGGACAGGTTAAATGCAGGTGGGTCAATATTAGTATCATCAATATTAGATTGTGAGGAGAAAAAAGTGTTGAAGGCATTCTCCTTGTCTAGCTCGTCCTGTAGAATGTCGTTATTGTCAGAAATAATAGGAATTTCGCTTTTTCTTTTAGAGTTAGACATAAAACTATTAATAAGTTTCCACCATTCCTTAGCACCAGTGTTACTACTATGATTTAGTTTATTACAAAGTTTGTTAAAGGAATCTCGTTTAGAGTTACGAATGGCGTTGATACAAGTGTTTCTGGATTTTCTGAATTTGGCCCAGTTATTTATTTTACCAGATTGCTTTGCTTTCCGATGAAAGTATTTTCTTTTACGAATCAATTTCCTTATAGAGTTGTTCAGCCATACAGGAGCGTTACTTCTTACAGTTATAATCTTATTTGGTATTCATGTTTTAGCCGTCTAACGTATAATGTCAGTGAGTAGATCAGTACTTTTGTCTAAGTCATTACAGTCTAAAATGCTGTCCCAGTCAATTTTAGAAAGTTTGACTTTGTAGTCGTCGTAGTCACCAATGTCATATAACCAGATATTACGTTTAAAAGATGATTGAGTTTGCTTTGATATATTGAGGCTACCATATACAGGACAATGATATCTAATGGGCTGGTCTAGGAAGCTTTCACCGACATGACAAAATTTAATTAAGGATGGGTCACTTGCACAGACTATGTCTAGAAGAGAAGAAGAAGATTCGGTGAGGAAAGTAGGACGGTCAACACTCTGGGTAAGGTTGTAAGTAGTAAGTAGATTGTGAAGGTGAACAGAGTGGTTATTACTGTTTAATAAGTTTGCATTAAAATCGCCGGTTATGATAATGTTAGGTACACCAGTGTTGTACGCAAGTTCAACAGAATGGGTAATATGGTCCCAAGAAGAAACTGGTTCATCAGGGGGTCTATAGAATGTTCCATATAGAATTAGTTTTCCTGATATGTTAAGTTGCACCCATACGCACTCGACCGAAGGTAATTCTAGGTCAGAACGACGCTTGGATGTTATGCTGTTACTAATATATATTGATAATCTTCCTCCTTGCCTACGTGGTCTACAATAACAGTAAGGGGGAGAAAAACCAAGAAAGTCGGAAACGGAAGTTATCTCATCAGGACTAAGCCATGTTTCAGTAAAGGATAGGATACTAATCTTGTAGAGTTCGCTGAAGAGAATATCAGATTTTTGCTTTATACTTTCTACATTCAAGTGAACAAAAGTGTACTTGGCTTCGTCGAACAACGTTGTAAAATTAGAGGAACACGAGGAAACTGATGACAAATCGAACTCACTAGGCCCAGGATTACTTTCAATGTCTTCAGAGAGAAGGAGTAATAATCGAAGAAATATTAAAGATATACACATGGTAGTGGAAAGAAAAATAACGTTCTTCACTTTGTATGGTACATGTCTATATTGGGTATCAAAGTCGTATCTAAGTTTAAGTGATGCGTGCGATATTTTGTTTGATATATGTAAAGTATATAATACAATTAAAACAAGAAAGATATCCACAAGTACGGATCCGGTCATGTCTATATAATTACATGATCGATGATAGCAACGGTTATAAAAAGACCTAGCCGGACAGAGTATAAATTAGAACATATAGGCATTCAGGTTACGGAGGTTAACCATAGTAAGAACCTAGATATTCGTATCCGGATATGGTATAATGAGAAGCAATCGATAAGATCAAAAACGTGGTAACACATAAAGGATGATACAGTGCGTTTGTTCGCGTGGGTAGTAGGGCAGGGGAGGTAATAGCGTAAGGAAAGTAAAGATGTAGAGTAGCAGAAGAGTAAGGTAATATAGAAAACTAACTCGATGGGTGTTATTTCCATCGTATATCTAAGGGAGGGTTAGGTAGGTACATGGGTAATATATTTGATTATATATACACATATATACATATATATTTAATTTTTCTACTCTTATTCGTTATCTGGGTACGTGCATACTATATAGTCAGGATGGCTGGGGTTTTGTTTCAAATATTAGAATACATGGCTGTAAACGTTATAAATCGTCCGGTTGATTATGCATTATACCAAATTCAACGATAATCTGTTTACAAAAATACGTATCGTCGTAGCAAAACACAGCACGAAATACTCAGCCATCCCAAATATATATCATGAAAAACTGTATATATACAAACAAGTTTTGACATAGAAATTCAAATATATTTACGACTAAATTCATCTATGTGTATACAAGAGATATACAAAGTATGTTTCCATTTACGTATGGGATCTATGAAGCGAGTCAACAATTCCTCAATCCAGTTAGCGTCAGACGAGTCAAACTGAAAAATTCGTGACGAGCCTAACAGATCCCGCACGAAATGCAAACGAATTTAGGATCCAGTGAGGAAGTAAATGACGTCACGTAATTGTCGTCTGCGTGACATCACAATGAAATATATATATAATTATTCTATTGTTACATGTAGTTGGCTACATGGATTGAATATCAAAGTGTATGAATACGGACAATTTTTATCTTCATCTGTACAAATAGCAATGAACACATCTTAATAAATGTAATAACTATTACATTTATATATATTGTAACATAAACTATAAATCTAAAGGCATTTAAATTTACGAGGTACGCAAAGCAAGACAGAAAAAAATCCTATAAGCAAGCTTGAATTTGAATTTGATTTTTTTAACAATTCAATTTAGGCATATTATAAATACATATATACTGTATGACGGAGACCTTTACAGAAACTATGTGTGTACACATCATAGGGTAGGAAAATACAACATACTTTTGACTATAAGTTGAGAAGACAATAAATGTATATATTATTAGCTACATAGATTGAACATATATATATGTATGGATACGTTCAGTACATCTGTAGTGTAAGGTAAGAACACATCCTGAGGATAATGTCAGACGAATCGAAACATGGACTTAAGAAAGGGCACATAAGGCCCGTGTTAATATAGACACAAATCACCTTCGGGATGTCAGCCCAGCGACGCTGACTCCGATTAGGTGATATCACATATGGTGACCGAAGGGCTCAAGTTCACATTCCTGCCGGATTTGAAAGATTTTGGAAGACTGATCTTTAATAATGATCTTACCGTTTGTTGTCCATGTCTGCGATAAATGTTTGGCCTTTACTAGATTCCTCGCGAGGAAGGCTAAGCCACCACGATATTTTGTGAGGTCCTCATTCACAGAGATGCCTTTAAAGGGGTCTTTGGAGCGAAAACCGCGGCTTGATTTTAACAGAGCAAACTTGGCGTCCACGGAACTCAATCGCGCGATGTTCCGGTTTGCCAACTCGATGCGACCGCTCCAGAGCCTTTGGCGGGAGGTCGACGCCACATTCCTCTGCTGCCTTTAAGATAATAGCGGAAGTGTCCTCTCCTGATTCCTCTGGGATGCCGGAGAAGCGAACGAGTGTTCTCCTCCCGTACTGTTCCAGGTCATCACGCTGATGGCGAAGCTCACCGTTTTCAGCCTCAAGCCTTGCCACTTTCTCTACCAGCGGAGCAATCTGCTGTGGTACGACTAGTTGGACATTCTGTTGTATGGACTGCAGGTCGTTGGACATGTGAACACGGACAGCCATGGCGATCCGCTGGACATCAATATCAGACAACTTCGCACCCCCGAGATCGGCGGGCTGAAAGTTTGCTGAATCGGAAAAGCTGGGTAGTGGAAAAGGTAGAAGGCCTGACTGGGGATGTTGGATTCCCTGCTGGAGAGTTTGTGATGTGGTAGTCATTGGTGATGATAAATTGAAACCGAACACACTCTCGGGTAGCGGGGTTGATGTGAGAGGTAACTGTTTCTGTTTTTTAGTGTCTCTGGTGATAGGGGGTGGTGTCGATGAAGAGGATAATGCTCTTTTAGAAGAAACTGGAATGGAAGAGCTCATATAAGACATATGTGTACTGGTAAAACTGGCAAATATCAGTTCATTTCAATTGTACACGTTCACATTCACGTACATGATTACGTTCACGGTTCGATGATCACAGGAATGCATACATGTCACAAGAAGCACTTTCCAAATAATGTTATTCAGCTCAAATGAGACATATCACAGGCACGGCATAGAGTATGCAACCAAAAAGGTTATTTAACGCATCATACGGCAACAAGTCAATACCAAACCTGACCCCGAAGTAGGCATAAATCACATTTCTATTGGAGCTGAACTGTCAACACCGTCCATGTTATCCAAGGGCAGACGACCCTTTTGTAGGTTGTGTTTTTATTATGTTATTTTGGACAAAGTCTCGTTTCCTCGCACAATCGTATCATTCTATCTTTCTCTCTTACAATCAAGTTTTCCGGGAAACTTTATTACATTTAATGTACGAATGCTGTCATGTGCAATATCTTTGGCCCTTTGTATTAAATCTATTAAGATCGAAAGGTAGAGTAGAAGTGTCCAGAGATTCACATGTACTGATATTTTGTGTTTTTGGAACTGTTGTGTCCAGAGATTCACATGTACTGATATTTTGTGTTTTTGGAACTGTTGTGTCCAGAGATTCACATGTACTGATATTTTGTGTTTTTGGAACTGTTGTGTCCAGAGATTCACATGTACTGATATTTTGTGTTTTTGGAACTGTTGTGTCCAGAGATTCACATGTACTGATATTTTGTGTTTTTGGAACTGTTGTGTCCAGAGATTCACATGTACTGATATTTTGTGTTTTTGGAAGTGTTGTGTCCAGAGATTCACATGTACTGATATTTTGTGTTTTTTTGGAACTGTTGTGTTCAGAGATTCACATGTACTGATATTGTGTGTTTTTGGAACTGTTGTGTCCAGAGATTCACATGTACTGATATTTTGTGTTTTTGGAACTGTTGTGTCCAGAGATTCACATGTACTGATATTTTGTGTTTTTTGTTGTGTCCAGAGATTCACATGTACTGATATTTTGTGTTTTTGGAAGTGTTGTGTCCAGAGATTCACATGTACTGATATTTTGTGTTTTTGGAACTGTTGTGTCCAGAGATTCACATGTACTGATATTTTGTGTTTTCGGAACTGTTGTGTCCAGAGATTCACATGTACTGATATTTTGTGTTTTTGGAAGTGTTGTGTCCAGAGATTCACATGTACTGATATTTTGTGTTTTTGGAACTGTTGTGTCCAGAGATTCACATGTACTGATATTTTGTGTTTTTGGAACTGTTGTGTCCAGAGATTCACATGTACTGATATTTTGTGTTTTTGGAACTGTTGTGTCCAGAGATTCACATGTACTGATATTTTGTGTTTTTGGAACTGTTGTGTCCAGAGATTCACATGTACTGATATTTTGTGTTTTTGGAACTGTTGTGTCCAGAGATTCACATGTACTGATATTTTGTGTTTTTGGAAGTGTTGTGTCCAGAGATTCACATGTACTGATATTTTGTGTTTTTGGAAGTGTTGTGTCCAGAGATTCACATGTACTGATATTTTGTGTTTTTGGAAGTGTTGTGTCCAGAGATTCACATGTACTGATATTTTGTGTTTTTGGAAGTGTTGTGTCCAGAGATTCACATGTACTGATATTTTGTGTTTTTGGAAGTGTTGTGTCCAGAGATTCACATGTACTGATATTTTGTGTTTTTGGAAGTGTTGTGTCCAGAGATTCACATGTACTGATATTTTGTGTTTTTGGAACTGTTGTGTCCAGAGATTCACATGTACTGATATTTTGTGTTTTTGGAACTGTTGTGTCCAGAGATTCACATGTACTGATATTTTGTGTTTTTGGAAGTGTTGTGTCCAGAGATTCACATGTACTGATATTTTGTGTTTTTGGAAGTGTTGTGTCCAGAGATTCACATGTACTGATATTTTGTGTTTTGGGAAGTGTTGTGTCCAGAGATTCACATGTACTGATATTTTGTGTTTTTTGGAACTGTTGTGTCCAGAGATTCACATATACTGATATTTTGTGTTTTTGGAAGTGTTGTGTCCAGAGATGTACTGTGTCCAGAGATTCACATGTACTGATATTTTGTGTTTTTGGAAGTGTTGTGTCCAGAGATTCACATGTACTGATATTTTGTGTTTTTGGAAGTGTTGTGTCCAGAGATTCACATGTACTGATATTTTGTGTTTTTGGAAGTGTTGTGTCCAGAGATTCACATGTACTGATATTTTGTGTTTTTGGAAGTGTTGTGTCCAGAGATTCACATGTACTGATATTTTGTGTTTTTGGAACTGTTGTGTCCAGAGATTCACATGTACTGATATTTTGTGTTTTTGGAAGTGTTGTGTCCAGAGATTCACATGTACTGATATTTTGTGTTTTTGGAACTGTTGTGTCCAGAGATTCACATGTACTGATATTTTGTGTTTTTTGGAACTGTTGTGTCCAGAGATTCACATGTACTGATATTTTGTGTTTTTGGAACTGTTGTGTCCAGAGATTCACATGTACTGATATTTTGTGTTTTTGGAACTGTTGTGTCCAGAGATTCACATGTACTGATATTTTGTGTTTTTGGAACTGTTGTGTCCAGAGATTCACATGTACTGATATTTTGTGTTTTTTGTTGTGTCCAGAGATTCACATGTACTGATATTTTGTGTTTTTTGTTGTGTCCAGAGATTCACATGTACTGATATTTTGTGTTTTTTGTTGTGTCCAGAGATTCACATGTACTGATATTTTGTGTTTTTGGAAGTACTGTTTTTGTGTTTTTGGAACTGTCCAGAGATTCACATGTACTGATATTTTGTGTTTTTGGAAGTGTTGTGTCCAGAGATTCACATGTACTGATATTTTGTGTTTTTGGAAGTGTTGTGTCCAGAGATTCACATGTACTGATATTTTGTGTTTTTGGAACTGTTGTTGATTATGATATTTTTGTTCTTAATTCTAAAATGTTATATATATATTAAAAATTAAGGAGGGAAATACCTACGATTGGCAAATGGAAAACATACATTCACCTTTACAGAAAAAATGAAGACGGTGGAATATGTTCTAACAAAAAAAAACAGAATTAGTTACTAAAAAATGGAATCTTATCGAAGGATAGTATATAATGGAGGAACTACAATATGTCTTCCTTATTCTTATCGAAACAAAACGAGCTTTTTATATGGGTATGTTGTCTAATGCGGGACAAAATTGATGTATTTGTATATGCTACTCATATGAACCGATATAATGTATTCTAATTCTGTTAGAACCTACTACAATAGCCTTCAGTTAAAACTGTAAAATGTTGAAATGACATGTTATAATGAAATGTTGAAATAAAATGTGACTTTAAAAGTCTGAATATGTATGCTTATGAAGGTGGAGCAGTAGATAGGGAACAGATTTGTCTGATATGGAGATATCAATTAAATTGTTCCCGTTAATCGTTTTAACTAACTTTTCCTGGCTGTCACCTTCACATGCCTGCCACTCCGTCTGATGTTTCCAACACTACAGTAATTGTTTTCCAGAGTGTTAACTCTCTTTCCCTTTTACATGTAAATTTATAATATCAGATGACAACAGCTTTACGTGATCGTTTACGTCACATTACTGTGGAAAGATAAAAATAGCAATAAAATATTTTAAATTTATTCTTAGCCGTTAATGGCTTTCGCTCGAAAAAAAAAGTGTTAAGCATAAAAATAAACACGTCGCTATCTCGAATGAATATCTGTTGCATCATAAGGACGGTTTATCGATTAGATAGAACATATTACTGAACCAGACTGTTAATAGAATCAATATGAAATGGGTTAAAATCCTCACCAGTCATAGAAATATTTCATTCTAATCTAACAATGCCCATTCATGGTTCATTCTAACAAAAATCATAAAGAAAATACAAACATGGCAACATAGTCATATTTCAAACTCGAATTCCATAAAACTAGGACAAACTATAAACAAAAGAAAGAATTACACGGAGACTCCTGTAAAAGTACAAGGAGAACAGGACAAGGTATTCAGGAAGAGTAAGCGTCTTCTGCTTCATCGACGACACCCGCCATGTAAACCTTTGTCAGTCCAAGTAAGTAATGTCACGTTCTCAAATGAGAATAAGGTATACAATAACGGAACCAACAGACCAAGTAACGAGCATCAAATACGTCAAGCTTCATGTCGTACAAAGAAATAAAATATTTCTCAATGGGATCACTATGGCGATCACACAACTTCCCCACAATTTCCATTAACCTGCATCTTTTGAACCTCGTGTTACGAGTTTTTCAGCAGGAATATTGCTATCCAGAAATAGAAAGTTCACAGTACGGAAATTGAAATCATCACGTTTATCATACAATGTGATGGAAATATCTAGATAAGTAGCTGATATGGAAAGCCTGTCGTATCTCTGATTTCCAGTTCTGGTGGATATATACGATGGACGTAGTGAATAAATTTCTTGTTATTTAATGACAAGATGTCATCAATATACCTGAAAGTGGAATGAAACGACTTTGCAATGTCTTTGTGACCTGTTTGTCCACATCAGCTCTCGGAAATGTACACTTGTCAATAGGTGTTCTGTTTAAGGATTGAAAGCTGGACATAGAATTATATTAGTTGTCACTACAAATTGGTGGACTTAGGTTGTCGATGATTTAATTTCTGTTATCAATGAGGTAATTGTAGCAAAGATGGCTATTCGTGTTGGAACATTGATAAAGTTTCCCGAATTAAATCTTATAAGTAGAAGGTGGAGATAAGGATTTTGTTTGATATTTTATGTTCAATAAATGATTGATATTTCATCCAGGTACACCTACACACACACCCCACACACACACAAACACACCCTCACACCCACAAACCCACCCACCAACCCACACACACCCTCACACATACTCACACACACACACCCACTCACTCTCACAAACACACACACTCACATAAATTAGTTGCCATCCATTACAATGAAATTGACGTCCTCTTGCTCATACCGTGTTATGTGGTATAGTGTGACTGGATTCACAACGCAATATATGCTATAAATATAAAACCAACGATTGTGTAAAACATGTGTAAACTACCTTTATATCCATCATGATCAATACATCATTTGAATCTCAAATGGATAAAACCATGCCTTCTCTAATTTATTTTCTAAAATAGACGTTACCACAAGGCTTGCTTTGATCACTTGTTCTGTTTATATCATTGGGTCTGATTTCTGATGGTGTTTATATCATATTACGTTGTCTAGCGATAAACAATAAATATCACCTTATCTAATAAAAACGGCATGATCCTGCACCGAAGTACTCACGCAGCCTAAGGTTTACTATAAACGGCGGCGGAAGAGAGATTTCCAATACATCAAAATGATTGATATCGATGTAAGAAACCGTCAGCTGACGGACAAACTCGTAACGCAGGGTTTCAAAAGATGCAGGTTGATGAAAAATTATGGGAAAATTTTTACTGTGGTCATAGACATCTTTGTTTGATACGAAGCTGGACGTGTATGATAGTCGTTTGTTTGTCTGTTGTTTCCGGTTCTGTATACCGTATTCTAATTTGAGAACGTGACATTACTCACTTTGATTAACCAAGACATCAAATCCAGAAATAATTTTTTCTAATTTCAATATTTATTTTGCCCTTTACTCTTACGTCTAAACACAAAATGTATTTGTTATCGTTATAGTTTTAGATGTTATTCCCTTCTTTCTATATTGTTATTTGTAGTATCGTGACCCATATTATTCAAATCCTTAGATCTGCTGTTGGCTTGTCTAGTAGGAATACATTTACACGTACATTTCATTCCACTGTTAAAACAAATTTAATGGAGAGGATATAAGTGTAATGCTTAACCATTTGCATGCAAACAACAAGCACGTTTTGGATAAGCGTTACGCAATAATGCAGTCACATATTTATACGTAACTTGACTGATTGCGGTTAAGACCACGATACCTTATCGTATCATTTACTGAACTTTCCTACCCTCTTTGGAATTCAATGAATCAACAACTATTAAACACAGACAAGTCTGCTTACAAGGTAAGAAACCATTTAATCTTTGAAATTTGAAAACTCTTACTTCTTAAGATAACTATGAAAATAAAAACACACAAAAAACAAATTTCCAGATATAATGGATGGTGATTCCATTTTTAATATCTTCAGATCGACATCGCAAGATTAATGTATTTTGATATACATGTATATATGATTTCAAAAAGTAGCAAATGATTTGTCGCCCACATTAGCAACCTCTATAGAACATGACACGGATGTTGCAAACATTTAATATAATTGTGCAAAAGGCATGAGTTTGCCTCGTTTGTACTGGATTACAAAAAAAAAAAAATTAAAATTTCAATAATTATTAGGGTTCTTTTTTCAAACAACGCAGTTTCTCAAATCACATGTCTAAAAGGTAGTTGGATTACCGTTGAACTGGTACTTGAAGTATAATATAAAAAGTACGAACATGTCTATACATATGATAGAATGTTGATAGACTGGAAATGTGATTTATTGATTAGCTTTTGATACATTGATGCATCTTGATGAATATAACAAAAGCCTCATGGATGAAGATGACAATAGATGTATGTTGGAAAATAACCTCTCTATGATTTATTTTATGTATTAAATTCTGAGATAATTATAATTATACCTTACTTTACAGTTCAGTCTATGACAGTTATAATCATACCTTACTTCACAGTTCAGTCTAAGCTCGTTATAATTATACCTTACTTCACAGTTCAGTCTAAGACAGTTATAATTTACCTTACTTTACAGTTCAGTCTAAGACAGTTATAATTATACCTTACTTTACGGTTCAGTTTATGTCATTTACTTTATAGATGATTGTCATGCATTGATAAGTTAGGACAATAAATCTAGATATCAAAAACGCATGTAGATTCCAGGTCCATAATGGGTTGAGCTCGCTAGGTTTATCAAACATGGAATCTTTCTGGTATTACAGGCATAAGATGAGGGTGATACTAATTATCACAATCCATTTCTTGGTCGTCTCGAGAGTAGCATGCTCAGAGAGTATAAAAAGAAACACGTTGAATTCTCAGCTTGAATTTTTACAAGATTTCAACAACAAGAACATGAATATTGGTCGTGAAAGGTTTGTAGAATTGGATTTCTTGCCACCAGAAACTCCTCGTCCAGGATCGTTCACTCAATAAGAAGAAAAACATGGATAATAAAATTAGATTTTTTCAGACAGATGAATAAACATAATTAATATCTATTTTGTTATTATTTATACACATTATTAAGATCACAAAAACAAATGCGAAAGCGATCAAATAATGTACAGAACATCAAACTTACATGATAATTTTCATAGTCATGCCGAGCTGGGATCAGATCTTCACACTAATTCATATGTGTTGGAGCTATCAAAGCCCCTTGTGAGAAATAGTATTGATATAAACTGATCTGATGTTTTAACACCTTAATAATTTTTCAGATTGATATACTTGATTTTACCTGAACAATTGTTTGTCATTTGAATAGTACAACTGTTAGATACAATGACGTACAGAAATATATAAACTGTGAATTTCCTTGTTTTTGATAATTTCATTATTAGGTAGAAAAGACAATCCAAGTTTATAAGACTTTCATCTCTAGCAGATTATTTCCCTTATTTCACAAAATTCTTCACGATATATAAACATTTGAAGTCAGTTTTATTAATTGGTAAATGTCTTTATCAGATGACCCTCGCCATATGGCCCATACTAAATGTCCTTTACCATAGTTCTTTCATGATCTATCATGCAGAGAGACGACAGACAAAGTCCAACAATCCGCAATTTCTGTGTATTTATAAGCTTACTATTGTAACTTGGGTGAATATCTCTGTAGAACGATCGGTTGATCGTAAGACTAGTAATTAAAAGGTTCCAGGTTCGAATCCTACTACAGCCTTTGGAATACTATCTGAACACAATCATCATACATCACAATGTAGATTTCACAATACCAACAGATGTTTATATCCAAAACAATGATAATAATAATTGATAATATATATACATATTGATTTATCAAAACTGGGTACAATTACGACAAGTAATTAATTCAAAAGTGACACCTTTTTTCACATAAGAAAGTTCGTTGTCACCGGTTGAGTTAGGATGGTTTAGAATACTAAATCACCGTATGCAAAATTCCGACATCGAACAAATTTTCATCAGTTGTAAGTTCGTTGTCATCGGTTGAGTTGCTATGGTTTAGAATACTAAATCACCGTATGCGAAATTCCGATATCGCAATAAAAACTGTTCGTTGGTCTCATCTTCTCGATTACATGAGCATAGTGAACTATTAACAATATTTCTATGAATCAGATAGAGTATAAGTGAACTGTACTCCATCCTACCGCTATAGAGGTAAGGTGGATTTTTCTATTGATAGTTACCTGTATTTCGTATTGCATCCAACAAAAAATTACAAACACTAACTAGAAATTTTCACTTTTTTCACTTCTTTTGCGACAATCTGGGATATCGGACAGACTCCTCGAAAAACTGCACTAGTTTCAGTTATTCTCAGCTTCATTTACGGCAAACCTAAAAAGAATTCCACAAACTGACCTTAGCAGTTCAAAGACATATATTTTCAAAATGGCGGTCATGGCAGCCATCTTGGATTTCGGACCAACTTAGAAAATAACAACTTTTAGGATAAAAATGGTAGTTCTTCATGCTACAAGCCTAATATCAGTTCCCCCTTGCTTTTTTTTTATCAAAGATGTTTGAAGATTTCATATACATTTGACACCTCTGACCTTGAATGTGAGTCAAGGTTATTCATAATTGCAAGCCTTATATAACAACACCTGTATATCATTATATGCTAAATACTAGTGCTCTACACTTTTTAGAACTTGAGAAGAAGATTGTTTAACATTGGTACCCTATATTGTACATTTCAACAATGATTACAACTTTGAACGCATACGGAAACCGAAAGTTGACATTTTCCCTCATAACAATACATGAGAAAGTTTCCTTGTTTGTTAATCTCTACTACATATCCAAAGATGAACTTTGTATCTTGAAACGTTAAGGAGATATAACTACATAATAACGAAGAAATACACTTTTTAAAGGTTCAAACATATTTTACCCCTGTGACCTTGAATGTCGGTCAAGGTCATTCATATTTGCAAGCCGTATAATGTAACATCTGATGATCAATATATAACAATTATT